ATTGTGAGATATTTTGGAGAGGTGTGATAAAAAAAAAAGAAAAAAAAAATAAACGAATTAAATTTTATATAATAAAAACTGTTGTGTGTCGTGTCATAGATCTACGCAAGACATGGGATTGAAGAAAGAATTCAAACGTAGTAGCGAATTTACATCAAGAAGTAGTCGTCCGGAAACATTTTCCGACGTATCACGTGGAAGAGAAGTAATTGTACGTCGTGAATCTCTTTCTGCAACATCCTCGTCTATTGATCCACGACAAGTTAAAGAAAGGTAATTTCAACTTATTCGATTGATTGATTATTATAAACGAATGTACGGTATTAATGTTATATATCGTTTATCACGTATCAGTAAAGTGATACATTATATATATATATATATATATATATATATATATATATATATATATATATATATATTATATATATATATATATACATTTTGTGTGTGTGTGTGTATATATATATATATATATATATATATATATTGAACATACATATCTGATCTATAATTAATTTTCTTTAAATAGTGTTAGATACGAACGACCTAGTACTACAACATATACTCGAGAACGTGAGGTACGACGATCTGAACCAGAGTCGCATAGAAATTCTAGGGATAGTCATACGCGTTATAGTGAAAGCTTCAAACCACCGAGCTCGAGTGCACCCCGTAAGTATTATAAAGAGTATATACTCGAAAAATGTCTTTAATATGCTACACACGTCGCGCATATACTAAACTTGTATAGAATCATATTTCAATGATCCTCTATAATATGGTTTTTTTTTTTCTCTCTCTCTCTCTCTCTCTCTCCTTTTTCCTTGTTCTTTTTATTTTATCGACAGTGTTAATAATTTCTTATGATTTATATAATAAGTTATTTTCTTTTCGTTTAAGTAGCATGCACAAATTTTTGGGATGGATAGTGTTTATTATTTTTTTAATATTTATATAAAAGATATGCGTAAATCGTAATACATAATCTAATCACAGTTTTCTTTTTTCATTAATGATCACATGATTTTGATACATACATATATATATACATATATATATGTTTGTGTGTGTGTGTGTGTATGTATGTATGTATATACACATACGTAACACACACACACTCGCGTATGTGTGTGCGCATGTAGGATTATTTCAACAAATATTATAATATTTTGACACTTTTGTGATTTATATAAATTCATATAAAAAATTTAAAATCTTATATTGAAAATACATTATTATTATTATTATTATTACTATTATTATTATTATTATTATTATTATTATTATTATTATTATTATTATTATTATTATTATTATTATTATTATTATTATTATTATTATTACTATTATTATTATTCAATGATTTTGGAGAAACTATACCAATCATATTTGGAAAATGCAATATTCAATAGAATAAGACTGGTTTTTTTTTTTAATCTTTTATTATTTTTTCCTTCTTCCTTTTTTTTGTTTCTTTTTTTTCTCTAGAAAGATGTTATCTTTTTGTTATCTTTTACCATTCATCTTTATTATCCGATTTTCTTATTAGATACAATTATATTTTATATGTATAGTCTACATTTCTTTCTTTTTCTTTTTTTTTTCTTTTTTTTTTCTTTTTTATTTTTTTTTTTGTTTTTTTTTTTTGTTTTTTTGTTTTCTTCTTTTTTAATCTTCATAATAGAATGAACAAGTAGTAATATTTGTCACTGCCTAATTTTTAACAAAATTCAAAGTAATAAACTCTACGTCTGTTTACTTATTAAAAAGAACGTTATGTTACTAGATCTATATCGATAAAATCGACATTAACAATTATAATTATTAGACTGATCTAATATTATTGAAAATAAAGTAGTGTACCATAATAATTATTACGAATTGAAATGACATGTAGAGAATGAAAAGAAGAGTCATGTTATAAAAATTTAATTAAAATTATGTACACTGCTTTGTTGTATGTATAATTAATCATTAATTCAAGATAATAATTTTTGTCTACTTTATAATATTATCTTTATTCTCTTATCTTGAAAAAAAAAACAACAACAACACAACAACAACAATAACAAATGAATAACTCCATGTTTGTCCTTGTATGTAGTTATGAAATTATTTCTCTGTCGTCTTCGTTTTAACAAGAGTGTTTTATGTTTCTAGTTTATTTGTATTACTTTATCATATATAGCGTGAATATATTATATATATGTATATATATAAATATAAATATATATATACACATATATATAAATCAGTTGATTTTTTTGATATTGAAAATTGAATAACAAACGCAAAAGACATATTTATGTATTTCTATACAATATATAAAAAAATGTATGCTTTATTAATAAAAATTATAATTTCCGACTTCTCATTGGGTTTTATTGTAGTTAGTTGAACCTACTTTGAATTAAGAAGAAATTTTTTTAAACGAATATATAAAATTAATCTTATATGATGCAAATTCTCTTACAATGAAATTAATTTTTTATTATAAAGCATACTCAATTATTAGATACTCAAATATTAGATATTATTTTCAAGGTAGTTAAATTTCTTTTGGCATAATAGTACGTAAAAAAAAAAAGAAAGAAAAAGAGAAAACAAGAGAAATCATTAAAATTTATCAAAAAATGTTTAGAACGATATTTCATGAGAATGTTATATGTGATCGTTTAACGTATGAGATGGTTAATGTTAAATATTATATTTTTTTTTTGTAGGTGATAGCCGTTATATAGAAAGTAATAAAACACCAAGTGGATGGCACTCGGTTCCACAATCTACAAAATCATTTAATTCTGTCCCGAGTAGCGGTACACGGGATCCACGTAATGAACCATCGGGTTGGAGTTCTAGATCATCAGATAGTGTCAACAGGTATATTGAAATAATTATTTTACATTTATGTGTGTGAGGAATTTTTTTTTCCTTTTCTCATTTTTTACTTTTTTTTTTCCTTTTATTTCTCGTTTTTTTTTTTTAAATATTATAAATAAATGATCATTCTCACACATATAGATGGAGCAATTCGAGCAGTATAGGTAATACTTTACGTCATCCTGTACCACCAACTTATCCCAGTGGCCCCATACAATCCATGGGATTAACAGCACCGGGAACGGCTACTTCGTATGATCGATTTGATCCATATAAATCATCTATGTCTAGTATGAGAAAATACTGATAGAATTGATTGAATATATATATATATAAAGAAAATTATATATATATATATATATATATATAAAAGAAAAACATGATTATAAAAATGAATTGTGCAAATTTGAGTATTAGTAAACTTGAGGTTTAGGTAGATATATATTACTTTCTTTGTTCATAACTTCATTGAAAAATATTGTTTTATGTAATAATCCAATTTTATATGCAAAACTTAAAAAAAAAAAAAAAAAAAAAAAAAGAAAAAAAAAAGAAAAGAAAAGAGATACAAATAAAAAGAAAGAAGAAAATGTAGCCTCAGAAGAACATGTCAATGTACAAAAGATATTGTTTGTCGAGTTATTAATTAAACAGAGCAGCGCATCATTTTTCATTGATATTAAATATACATTGACCAAAATAATAATAGAACTTCATTCTTGTACCGATACATTCGGTAAATTTGTTTATTAATTTAGATTCCGTTATTACATGTAAAACATATGAATAATGATCGAAAGAAACAAAGAGAGAGAGAAAGAAAAATAACACATTTTTCATACAAATTATTAAAATATATAGAAACAGTAATTCCACTTGTTTATTAATTATCATTCATTAATTATATTTGTGTGAAAATTTGTCAGGAAATAATGATTGAACGTTACATGCATACATACATATATACATACATACATACATACATACATACATACATACATACATACATACATACATACATACATACATACATACATACATACATCATACATACATACACATATACATACATACATGTTAAACACCGCTCTGTATTTAACAAATGATATGTGATCTTGATTGTTCACCATAATTAAGAGATTAATATCGATTAAGCGAATAAGCGTATCGTACACAGGCCGATAGCACAATATACTAAAAAAAATTCCGAAATGCAAGGAACTTTTGTACATTTGTTAATAGATAATATTATAATGTGTATTTCGATTTACTTTACTTATAAATAATAATGTAACTGTTCATCGATTTTAACAATAATATAGTTTTAATGCGACAAAGAGAAAGAAGCGATGATGGGAAACAAAAAAAAAACAGTGTAAACTTTAGTGTAAACAAACATTGAAGAGACACAAACCAGGTATATGTATACAACACAACAAAATACCATCGTATTACATAGCGTATTATGCTATGTTACTAGTAAGATAATTTTAAGTTAATATAAAATAATATTTTGAGAGAAAACAGATGAGAGTAACTAACGGCCGTTAGACAAGAATAATAAAAAGAAAACTTTCCATTGTTTTTAACATCTAACAAAAACAAACAAGCTCTATTCATTCTCGATTCTCATTGTTTCTAGTATGAACAGCGAGTTATATAATACTTATAAAGAAAAAGAAAAAAAGGAAAAAAGAAAAAAAAAAGAATAAGATGTCCCCCCACTCTCCACATGCTGTTGCGAGTATGAACAGTTTGTACATTGATGAATTCCATATAAAGTGTATATTGTATGCATTAGAGAATCTGTGACACAATAACTACGTTGGTAAATGTCGCAGAGAGAAAGAGAGAAAGAGAAAGTATGTGTGTGTGTGTGTGTGTGTATAATGAATGAATACATTATATATATAATTCCAATAAATTTACAAAGTAATCGATGAGAAACAAAACAAAAAAGAAAAGAAACAAGACTACCAATGATCTTCCACCAATCCAACCTATAATAGAAATAATAAATTAAAATAATGTCGTCGTCGTCGCCCCGTTTGTCGTTGTCGATCATGCGAGGAATTAAAAAGGAAAAAAAAAAAGAAAATAAAATGGAAGAATCAAGAGCAAGAGAATAGTGCATTCCAAGGTGTATGTAGCCGTAACGAATAATCGAAAGCCTATGGAACAGTAGTAATAGTAGTAGTAATAGTAGTTAGTAAGTAGTAGGAACATTAAGAGAGCAATAGCAATAGCAAGAACAAGAGTAGTAGTAATAGTAATATAGCAATGAACACTTTCCCTTGATAGTCGTGTTAGGGATGGCGTTTCCATAGAGAAAAGGAGGAAGAGTAAATAAAGAGAGAGCGAGCGAGCGAATAAGCAAGCAAGCAAGCTAGCACATCAGAAATAAAGTGTGTCGAGGTCTTTTCACGGGCAGTCGCAGAAGCCTGGGCTCCTCCTGGGTTCTGTGTAATCACAGTTGCACGAAACGCACGGGAACTTATTATTTCCAATTTCTTGCTTTTAAACAATTTTTCTTTTTCTTTTTTTTTTTTCTCTTTTTTTCTATCCTCTTCTCTGACTACTCTAATCTTACTCCTTCTTCCTTTCTTATCTTTTCTTTCTTCTATCCTTTCTCCTCTCCGTCTTTGCCTATCTTTCTCTTTCTTTGACTCTCTTTCTTTTCTCCCCCTTCTCTTCTTCTATCTCCTTTCTCTCCTCTCTCTATATTTCATTCTTTTTTTTTCTCTTTCTCTTTTCAAATTCGATACCATGCATAATTTGCCGGTACTCTGGTGATCTTCACGACAGAGAAGTCTTCTCTTTTAATAGTTCAGCTCTGCGTCGTCTGCTGAGTAACAACGTGTTTGAGGTATCAGGAGTGCTGTGACAGTCAATCGTGTCTTATTAAGTGTGTTGGAATGTACGTGAAAACTTGCTGGAAATTTTTTTAACGATGATGTTCTCTTCATTACTTCTTCTTAGTAAGTGTATTGTTTACAAGAGAGACCCTACTACTACTACTACTACTACCTACTACTACTACTACTACGATGATCCTGATAAAAGAGTGTGATATTAGACGGTAGTGAAGTTTTTATTTTCAATCGCGCATTCGTTCATTTCTGTTTTTGTATTTTTTTTTTCTTTTTTTTTTTTCAATATGAAAGAACGACACTTTAAAATGGGATTTGTCGCAACATGTAATATCGAGAGAAAGGATAGAAATTGCTGCGAACAAAAAATAAAAAATAAAATAAAATAAAATATAGAGGCGTGTATCGTAGAAAACATGGACTTTCTACTGGCTGGTTTCAAACCAATGTCAGTAGGTCTCTTGTTCGTGATTTTGAATTTGTTCTTTCATTTTTTTTTTGTTTTTTTTTTGTTTTTTTTTTTTTTTTTTTTTTTATATGTGTGTATATATATATATCTTTCATTTTTTTTACACGTACATAAATATTCTAATATTTATTGAGTTGTTAAAAAAAAATATATATATATATATATGTACATGTATATGTATATGTATATGTATATGTATACATAAAATTATTCGACATTATCTTTAAATTTATATTATAGAAATATATTGAATGAAAATGATTAAATTATTTGTCATAACAAAACAAATAATTAAATATGTATGTAACTTGCCGAGCACGTGCTCCTATTATGTGTCATAATTAAAAAGCACAAAGCGTAAAGAACACGCAAGTGTATTTCTCATCACGTGTTGATTATTATTAACTGTAACTTTTCTAATATTAACAAAGAAAAAAAATTCTTTTCGTGTTATCTGACACGAAATCTATTTTATCCTTTTTTTTTTTTTTATTCTTTACTTTTCTTTTTTTTTTTTCTTTTTTTTTTTCAATTTGCTGAAATTCAGCACACTTTCACCGTGCGTCAGAACGTAACGCTTTCGATAAGAGTTCCTTTTTTGTATGTACATACATACATACATAAGTATTTATATTTCTCGATTGATTGCAAAAAAATTCATATCCATATTAAACTAATCTGATTTTTCTAATTTCTACTTTAATAATTACACTTGAGACCCTATCATTATCATAAATAAATTAATGTAAACATATATCTAATCCAATACTTTTACAAATACGATTAGATTAAGTTTACCTCTATGAATATCTTAGTTAGATACAATTAAAAATAGTTATATCAAGCAATTAAATAGGCTATTGCATAAATATAGTCATCGTTCTTTTACTTTTCTTTTTCTTTTCTTTTTTTTTCTTTTTTTTTCTTTTTTTCCATCGTTCTTATCAGAAAAAAATATCAAATATTAATTCGTAATATCATTGAACCCCTATCATGCGGGTATTTTTTTTCCTTCTTTTATATTTTTTTTCTCTTCTATAATAATCTAATTGAACTTGTTGGTATCAAATGTAACTCAATGTCAATAGAGTTACGTTATGACGACATCATTCAGAAAGCCATGTAAAACGATATTATGCAATTTCGATAAAGTAAATTTGATGTTTACAGAATGGAAGAATTTAAAACGGGGAGGAAAAAAAAAAGGAAAACAAGAACAAAACAAAAAAAAAAAACCAAAAGACCAAAAGGTATTGTACACTTATGTACAATTCCAATGCATGATAAACATATTATAACACGTATATACGTGCACTTAAATCCGATGAAATATTAAACTTTCTTTCTTCGTAGATTTACGATTGAAATTTTTCAGATAAGAATGAGAGAATGTCGTATAACAATAACTACGTTTTCGCTCTTACTACCTTCTTATTTTAACAGAGATAAATGATCTTCTCCCCGATGTAAATACTTCGAATGTATTGACTGTTGTATGAGTCAGTGAACGGAAGAAAGGCACACTTTCTCGTCGAGCAACTTTCACCGTCGATGAAGTCCGTGTGTAGTAACTTGTTCCGAAAAGTCCTCCTTTTTCTCGCACACACGTAATTTTGTAATTAGACTCCCCTTACACCCCTTTCTTTCTATCTATCTCTCTCTCTCTCTCTCTCTCTCTCTCTCTCTCTCTCTCTCTCTCTGTCTGTCTGTGTGTGTGTCCATCTTTGATCATCAATTTTTCATTCAACGTGACAAAATGACTCGTATACATACTATCGATGTCATTCAAATAAATTTTATGTTAGATTATACATTGAATGAAAATTAAGTTTCAAGAAGAGAAAAGAAAATAAAAAAAAAGGGAGAGAGAGAGAGAGAGAGAGAGAGAGAGAGAGAGAGAGAGAGAGAGAGAAAGAAAAAATAAAGAAGAAAAAAAGAATTAATATTCCTTAGAAAGGAATTATTATTCCTCCACTTGTATGTAATTAACCCATTAAACGATATAAAAATGTCATGTCTCATTGAATATGCATAAATAGAACGTGGGATGACAAAGAGACATTTCTAAGCTACACGTATTCTTTACGTATTTTCTTTCTGTTCTTGTTCTTGTTCTTCGAAAGAAAGGACGAAAAAAAAAAGAAAGGAAGAAAGATCGCCTCGGTAACAATGGCAGAGCATTGTTGACAAAGGAGCAGAAATGAAAAATGAAGAACATGTCTCCTTCTCCCTCTCTCTCTCTCTCTGTAATTTTATAATGATACACCTCAAAATTTGGGTTACTTCGAAACCGGTTCTTCCCTGATTCAAATATATTTCTTTCTGCCGAAATATTCGAAATGAGTTTAGAAGCCGGATCCTATGAGGGGATTTAGAAAAGATATATATATATATTTGTAAATTCTAGTTCAATCGGGAATTACTCGAAATAAATTAGGTCGTCCTTTTTGATTTTTTTTTCTTTCTGTTTCCTTTCTTTTTTCTTTAATTTTTTTTCTTTCTTTCTTTCTTTTTTTTTTTTTATCATACATCCATAAACACAAAATTCTTATTAACTCATATTCTTCGATCAAGAATTCGAAGAAACATCAGAAAATATTCGAAAGTTACTTTCGACTTATACTTTTCGCAAGTATTGCATAATACATATGGAAGGAATACTTATTTATTCAGAACACACATTTGAGTAATGGGTTTTTCACCGTCTCATCGAATCATAAAAAAGAAAGATAACACGTGCTTACCATAAAAGAATTCTTGACAAATTTATATACATATATATATATATATATATATATATATCGTTACACAAGAGATTATGTGATGACAGAAAAAAAAATGTTTTCATGCTTTTCTTTTCCTTCCGTCCCCCCACCTTTCTTTCGTTTTTGTTATTTTTCTTTTTTTTTTTTTTTTAATTTCATAAATCCGATCAAAAAATTTTCAATTTTTATTTTCAACTTTAAGATTGGAGATTACAAATATGATTTTTTAAAAGTTATTTTCTAATTACAGAATTCTTTTTAATATGGAATATATTCGGTGGAGCTCTTTCGTATACCGAAGAAATTGTACGATATCATGGTCAACGTAAGTATAGAGATGATTTATTCAAATTTATGTGTTACGATTGTAATTAATGTAATATTTAGCATTAGGATATAGAATGCCAACGTCTTATGGACTACCGACACGTGGATGGTCATCGGAAATATGGAATCCTGGGGTACGAAGAACGGGAAGTCAATTGTATAGAAGGGACGTTCAAATTCGACCGCCCCATGTACACTTCGTTAAGATCGAAGAAGAACAAACCGATCCTTTGGCGACTTTAAGCGAAACATTAGGTGCATTGAATACCGTGGGAAGTTATATCGTTAATATGACGAGAGGAATGGAAAATTCAAGTAGCCCGCCAAAAGAACTTCCATCTGCATTGTATACCATTTCGAAAAATATTTTAGGTGAGATCGTTTTATTAATTTGTTTAAAAAAATCATTCGCATGATCATTTATAAACATTTATTTTTTAAATATCATAGGACTCAATGTAACAGACAGTATAGCACCATTGGTAAGAAGAGGTGTTGGCTTAACATCCAAACCATCAATCAAGATACAAACAACAGCAGCAACAGCAGCAGCAGCAACAACAGCAACAACGACGACGAGGACAACAACAACGACAACATTAGAACCTACAGTCATAGCGATAACACCAACAAATTTATCAAGACCTATTTCTCAAGCACTTCCTCAACAATCAGTGGAATTAGCTAACAGAGATAGAGATTCTTTATTACCTACATGCATTACGGCAGAGGGTTCATCGGGGAAATGTCAAGATCTCAGCAATTGTCCGCAATTGCTGTTGGATTTAAAAAAATTAAGACAATCATTATGCTTTAAAAGTATATTCGTACCTGGTGTTTGTTGTCCTACGAAAAAATCAGACGATTTATCGGATGATGGGTAAGTTAAAAAAGAAAAAAAAAGTTTAAAGAGCTATCGATTAATATTTGATTTCTGGTTTTAATATTTCAGAATAATTACTGGTACCATTTCACCGGCATTAATTCAGACCACTGTTCGACCTACTCGACCACCATATCGTCCTATAAAACCACCTACACCACGACCTATACCATTGTATCCAGTTGATTCATCTACATTAGAACCATCGACCGGAACGATCCAGATGCCAGACTTGTCAATTAATAATTCGAACAATGTCGAGACATTAGGCACCGTCGACAATAATTACATACAAGATGACGAAGGTATATATACTTAATACCTATAAATAATAATAAATTTCGTTCTACGATCATTTTATTATCAATCGAGAAAGTGAATCGAATATTTTTTTTTTTTATATGTTAGAATGTGGAGTGAGAAATTCTGGAAAGTATAGGGTCGTTGGAGGTGAAGAAGCATTGCCAGGACGTTGGCCATGGATGGCAGCTATTTTTCTTCACGGTTCTAAACGTACAGAATTTTGGTGTGGAGGCTCCTTAATTGGACCACGGCACATCCTAACTGCTGCGCATTGTACGAGAGATCAACGACAACGACCGTTAGTGAAGAAAATAATTTTTTTTTTTTTTTTTTTTTTTATTATTTTTTATATTATTTTTAAGATTAGGAAAATTAGGAATTGCAAAATGAATCTAACGTTTCTCATATTTAAATGATAGATTCGCCACGAGACAATTCACAGTACGCCTTGGTGACATAGATTTAGAAAGAGACGACGAGCCGTCCTCACCAGAAACTTATGCTGTTAAAGCGATTTATGCTCATCCAAAATTTTCTCGAGTTGGTTTTTACAACGATATCGCTGTCCTTGAGTTAAACAGACCTGTGAAAAAGTCACCCTATGTAATACCAATATGTCTACCACAGGGACGCTTTCGTAGCGAAGCATTTGCTGGTGCTAGACCAACTGTGGTTGGATGGGGAACAACCTATTATGGTAATTTCTTATTTAAAATTATCCTAAGTGTATATAACGTTGTGTTGTGTTAGACGTGAAAAGAAAAATTTATGAAAACATGTAACAGGTGGAAAGGAAAGTACAGTTCAACGACAAGCAGTATTGCCCGTATGGAGAAATGAGGACTGTAATGCGGCTTACTTTCAACCAATTACGAGTAATTTCTTATGCGCTGGTTACAGTCAAGGTGGCAAGGACGCTTGTCAAGGTGATTCAGGTGGCCCGTTAATGTTAAGAGCTGAAGGTCGATGGATGCAGATAGGCATCGTATCTTTTGGTAACAAATGTGGTGAACCTGGTTATCCTGGTGTTTATACGCGTGTCACGCAATATCTCGATTGGATAAAAGGCAATTTAAAATAAATTCATTATATGTATATTTTTGACATGTGCCAAGGAATAATAAATGGCATTTTCTTTTTTTGTACAGTTTCTAAACATGTACAGTATAATGTCAATTTGATTTATTAATCATATTATTGTGAATACATAATAATGTGACCAAGTGTATATTCATTGAATATATGTAATTTATTGTTATTATATATATATATATGTGTGTGTGTATGTATATTGTGTTATCATTGTTTTTTCTTCTGTTTTGTTTTTGTTTGAATGAAACCCATATCATTTTTTCAGCAATACTTTTAAGTCATAATGTATATATATGCATTACAATCGCCATCTTTAGATCTAGGCCATTTTGTCATCTGTCTAGTGTCATTAATTTATGGTCGTTTGTATCAAAATTTGTAAGTTTTATAAAATATATTTTTTATGAAATGATTGAATTAAAAAAATCATTTTTAAAAAAAAGTAAAACTTTATGATGCGAGTATGATAATTTTTTTCTGCTTTATATACTCTTATCATCATGTACAAAATTGAATAATTTTATATAAACACATTTAAATTTTATAATTAAAAATCAATTTTAATCATGTCGGTTGGAATTAAAACTAAAAGCGTTTCGGTCGAAGATTTAGGAAGCATCGTGAAGCAAATGATCAATGGAGCACTTGAAAATACTGGTTAGTATTATTGTACGTCTACAATAATATATATATATATATATTTCTGGATATTTAATATTATTTAAAATATAAACATTAGCACAAATTGCCAAGTTACATAAGATTGTTTATGAAGAATGGTACTTCAAAAAAATGGCTGAATTAAAAAATTCAAAATCAAAAAAAACATCAGAGAAACCTATTGAAGATACTAATAAGGTTTTATCTTACAATTACATATATTTTTCTAACACATCTACAATATTAAAATTAATAATATTTTTAGAATACATCTTCATTGGATATACTAAGCAACGAATCAACTTTAAAACACGTACTTAATTTGCCATCATCTAAAATTACAATTAATAATTATATGAAAAAAAATGAAAAATTGAAAAACGAATCGAGCAGAAAATGCAAAGCAAAATCATACTTAAAAGATAAATCCAAAAGTGATTCCATATTAAATAATATTGAAAAGAATAGATATACTAATTTAAAAACTCGCCTACAAACTCGTTCGTTAACTTCTAGTAACATTATTGGCTTTAATAAATTCAATTCTCAAATTCCAATTAATAAAGTAAGTTTATCAAATGAAAATATAAATGTATGGATGTTTAATTTTTAATATTGATCTTAAATATTTCTAGATAAAACAAAAAAATTATGCCATTGAACATCAAAATATTGTTCTAACTAATGATACAAAAGTTAAGGCAGAAAAAACATACTCGAACAAGAACACAAAATATGATCTAATTCAGAACGATGATAAAATACAAGATAAAAAAATGTTCGATTAATTTAAAAAAAAAAAAAAAAAAAAAAAAAAAAAAACAAATTTAATCAATTAAATTAGCTATTATAGAAAAATAAAAAACATTTATTTTCCTTCTTCTTTTAACAGGAAACGTGAACATAAAAATAGCTTAGCATTTGAGAATTGGAAAAAGCAAAAAAATATTAAGTATAAACAAATGATCAAACAAGAACAAAAGGAGAAACAGCAACAATTACAAGCTAAATTAGCTGAGATGGAATCAAAGAAACGTGCTCAGGTTTAAAATATTTTTTTTTTCCCCCCCCTATATATATAAAATATTTCTATCTATTTAAACTATCAATTTTCAAATTGTATTTATAAAAATAATCGCGAAAATAGATGTATATTCGTATGAAGAAACAACAGAAAACGCAAGAGAGACAAAAATTATCTAAGGAATTACGAATTATTCAACAAATTAATCTTAAATCATATCAAAAACAAATGGAAATGAAACGTATCATGAATGATAAGGTTTTCAAAGAATGGAAAAGACGAAAAGATATGAAACTGAGAGAGCAAAAAATTATGTAAGATATAAATACGATTATTTTCATTTACTCCTAATGAATACTTTCATATTTCGATATAAAATATTTTCATAATATAGAAATCGACAATATGCTAATTATTATTACCAATTACAACAACAACAACAAAAACAACAACAACAACAACAACAGCAGCAGCAGCAGCAACAAGAGCAGCAGCAACAACAATGCCAACAACAACAATACCAACAACAACAATACCAACAACAATCGAGACATACGAATTCTCCGCATAGGATTGATACAAATTTTAATTCCTGGTTGAATCAATTAGATTGGGTCTTACACGAAAAATATTTACGTGAAAGGCGTTATCTCGTACGTTCTTTTTACTGTCAACCAGCTTATTATGGTAATGCAGCTGATATCGCATATGCTAATTATTCATAATTATATATACTATTATATATTTTTATATAATGTATATGTGTATATATATATGTATATGTATATACATATACATCATTATTTATTAATAAAATTTCTTTTTTTCTTACATTATGTACATAATACATATGTATGGATACATTTACTAAATAATAATTATTTTTCTATCAATGACAAATAATAAAATAATAAATTAATACAATGAATTTATAGATGTGTGATATCACAACAATAATATTATAAAAACATAATATTATAAAAGGCATTATAATTAAATAATTGATAATGAAAATATTCTTTGGTTATTTCATATATATTTTTTTTTTAATATTTTTAATACTATTTGATCTATTTATAATTTATCAAATTCAATAAAGAAATAATACCATCTATTGCTCCATGCTCATATATTCTCAGACGCTCTTTTGTATTTTTTCTCATAATATATAAAAAAAACTTTTATTTATCATGTTTATCGGCATCTTTTAAATTATTCAAAGCTTTTTGAACTAAGGTTTCTAAATTTTTAGGAAGATTCATTTGTATAGTATGTACTGATTGTATTCCCGAAGATGAAGAATTGTCTACGTTTGTTTCTTTTGTATCAGTCACATTTTCATTGATTTTTTCCGTAGTGCATTCTGATATGTGGTCTAGATCATTACGAAGACTACTACCTGAGAAGTAACATTCGTAATAATTTATAACGATTTTAAATTAGAATATTTATACAAAAACTTACATTTTTGATCAACATCAGCACTTGTGTAGCCTTCCAATAATGTTGTTGTTGGTGATTCTATCATACTGTCCAACTCACAAATTCTCGAAGCCAAAATTCTGTATACACATTACATAGAAATATATTATTTATATAATATTTACATTTATATATTTAATATAATTTACATCAGGCTTACTTATTAGCTTTTTTCTGATGTGCTAAAGCTAAAGTTTTATCATTTAACGCTTCCATCAGAGCAGTACACAAACAATGTAATTCTTCTATTGCAACAGTAGATTTTTGAATTGGTATACGTGTTTGCTGCAAAAGCTCTTCAACTAAAATTATGATATATTATAAACAAACTTATATTTAAATTTTTAAATGATTGAAAGATTTTACTTCTAAAATAAGGTGTACCAATACTTTGAAATGAAACAATAAACCTTGCTTGTGTTTCATCACCATTCCAGCAGCAGGATTAACACCCAATTTAATGGTCCCTTTTGCTCTTTTACTATCCAGCATACTCTGACAATAAGAACAAATAAATGCGAATAAGTTTAAATATTCAATGAAAAAAATTATTCTTACTTTATATTTTGAAAGAGATTGTCTTGCCAGTTCTTTTTCTTCAAGTAATTGTTGTAATCTTTCTTGCAAATATCTAAATAATCAAATAATAGCTAATTATTATTAATTATTATTACTGAATAATAATTCAGAATTTACCTATTTTCATTAATAAGAGCATCTATATCCATTGGTTTGGATGCATTTAATGCTTTGGAAAGTTCATGATTTAATCTATGTGCTTTACATTTGAATGCATCTCTTTCTATCTCTAACTCATGTTTCTCATCGAGAACAGTTTGTAAATCTATTTGTAATTGTGAACACTAAAACGAATTAACAATAACAATATTATTTTCACGATTAATAATTTACTGACAATAATGAAAAATTAAATCATATAATAACCTTTATATTCAATTTTTCTAATTGTTCAATCATTTCTTCCTTTTGATGTATTGCCGACGTATATTGTGTTTCCTGTTGTTCTTTACTACTGCGATTATTATTTGTACGCAATATTTTAATATCACCTTGAACATCGCCTAACTTCTGTCTCAACATTTCAACTTGCAATCGGAGACATTTATTTTGTTCTCTTGATTCAGCAAGAAGATCTAACGTCCTAAAGTCGCTATCTACATTATAACTAAAAAATAAATACATTATGATACGAATATTGATTTAATATAAAAACAATAATAATATCATATCAATTACCCATTGAATTCTTTTGGATCATTTATTTGTTTCTTTAAATGTATAAATCGTTCTTGTACCTGTTCAGCCATTAACTTAAATTGATCCCTTTGTAATCTACATTGATCGAGTTCTTGATTTAAAAGAAAAAGTGCTTGCGTCTTGGCTTGCAATTTTTTTATCAATGTTTCCTACAATAACACATGATATAATAATATTGTAAATATATTAGTTCAATATCTATGTCAAATCAAACGTTCGAAATATTAGAAATAAACGTACTTTACATTCCTGATCGATTGCACTTTCATCGGATAATCTAATAAATGTGTTCTTTTGCTTTAATTCCTGTTCCATCATGTCTAATAACAAATCAGTTAATGCATAGGATAATTAAAATTATATACGATATTATTCCCTTTAATACGATTAACATATAAATTATATGTTTTTATAGATCAATCTCAGGAGCAAACTATTGCACTTCATTACATACAACACGCAACATATCCACATACATGCCTACATATTACATGGAAACAACTTAAAACAATGTACAGTATTACCAGACACAAAAATTTCTCCCTATTATAAAAAACGAATCTATGAAAATATATAAAATATAAATAATACGTAATGTTATAATGAAAATAATTTTGATTTACAAAAAAAAATATTATAATATCCTTTGAAGAAAATTATTGAACTTTTCCTTCTTCTACATTACAAACTTCTAACAAATATAAAGATCTTCTTTCATCGAACATTTGAAAAGAATTTTTCAAATACTTCATGAAAGTAAAAGTAACAGGAATACTTTTGAATATTGGCAACACTGCCCATATGTATATCTAGAGAAGATTCATTTAATATCTTTCAATAAATATGCGACTTTAGCGACGGCTGCGGATAAATAATGAACTAAAATTAGTTTCAAAGCTTTCTGTACTATCATAGAAATCGATACGATATGTATCGATATGTTTTTAGTTTATATTTTATCCACGTATGTCGCTAAAGTCATACGTTTTGAACGAAATGTAGTGAACAGATTTTACAGTTTTACATGTGTAGCACGTGGGAATTTTTCAAAAGTAAAGTATTTTTAGATTTAGTGTAAATAAAATTAATTTCTGTATAATATTTCTTAAAAAAAAATGTCTATTCCCGACAAAGTTTTAATGAGAAAGATTAGAAAAAGAGAAAAGAATAAATTAAAAGTATTAAAGGAAAGATCTGACAAACAAAATGGTAAATGAAATCTATATAGGTTATGTACTTATAACAAAGTGTTATTTGTTCTACAATATAATGTTTAAAATATATATTAATAATTAAAAAAATACAAGTTTGATTATAGAAAAAGATTTTCATTTTGTTCTATGATATTTTTATTTAAAGGTGAAATTAAAAGTGAAGATCTTGTGGAGAATATTGATCAAGACGACGACGACGACGTAAAGGAAAAAATTGGAAATAAGCGTTTGACAACGCAAAATGGTCCTGCTAAAAGTAAGTTATATACACGTAGTTATGTTATCTATGTAAGATCTATAAATATATAATAATAATACATTTAATTATTAGAAAAGAAAAAGAATTTAGAAACATCTAAAATTGAGAATGAACAAGAGTCAAATGAGGAATCCATTAATGGTAATGAAATGGATACCATGGAAGAAAATGGAAATATAGAATCAAAGAATAGTACAGATGTCGTTGAGAAAAGCTGTAAGTTTGATAAAAGTTTTATAATAATTGTATTGTCGTTTTAAAAAGTAATACTAAATTATATTTTATCATATATAGTACCTGGATCTTCTATAGGATTAGAAATAACAAAAAATAATAGTTTTGAAACGTTGAATGAACGTGTATGTGAAAATACTCTTAAAGGAATAAAAGATATGGGTTTTACACATATGACCGAGATACAAGCCAGATCTATTCCACCATTATTGGAAGGCAGAGATTTAATTGGTGCAGCCAAAACAGGATCAGGAAAAACATTGGCCTTTTTAATACCTGCTGTAGAATTAATATATAAATTAAAATTTATGCCCCGTAATGGTATGTCCTTTATAAATATATCTATATAATAGATTTATCAACTCATGTAATATATATATATATATATTACAATTCCAGGTACTGGATGTATTATCATATCTCCTACAAGAGAATTATCAATGCAAACATTTGGTGTTTTAAAAGAATTAATGAAATATCATTATCATACGTATGGTCTATTAATGGGTGGTGCTAGTAGACAAACAGAAGCACAAAAACTCGCAAAAGGAATAAATATTATTGTTGCTACGCCAGGGAGATTATTAGATCATCTTCAAAATACTCCTGACTTTTTATACAAAAATCTACAATGTCTTATTATCGACGAAGCCGATCGTATTTTAGATATTGGTTTTGAAGAGGAATTAAAACAAATTATTAATATATTGCCAAGTTGGTATTAATAATAATAATAATAATGAAAGAAATCTATTATAAATTTTCTTAAAGGAATAGAAAAGATAAGGTTATGTTATTCTATAAATTTTATTACAGAAAGAAGACAAACTATGTTGTTCAGTGCGACTCAAACTAAGAAGGTAGAAGCATTGACAAGTTTAGCATTAAAAAAAGAACCTGTATATGTTGGCGTCGATGATGAAAAAGATAAGGCGACTGTAGAAGGTTTGGAACAAGGCTATGTAGTTTGTCCTAGTGAAAAACGTTTTCTACTTTTATTCACATTCCTAAAGAAAAATAGACAAAAGAAAATTATGGTATTCTTTAGTTCCTGCATGTCAGTCAAGTATCATCATGAACTCTTGAATTATATAGATCTTCCTGTATTAAGTATACATGTAAGTATTCAAAATATATATATATTTATATTATATTTACATTAAATTGATTAATCTAAAACACAGTATAAAAAATATTAAAAATTTGAACACAGGGAAAACAAAAACAAACTAAACGGACTACAACATTTTTCCAATTTTGCAATGCTTCTTCCGGTATACTTTTATGTACAGACGTAGCTGCTAGAGGTCTCGACATACCCGATGTCGATTGGATCGTACAATATGATCCACCGGATGATCCTAAGGTATCCTATTGAGTGTTATATGTTAACGCGTCGTATATTAACATCGCGTGACATACTTTCGAACATAGAGATATATCTAAAATCTTAATTTATGCGTAGGAATATATTCATCGCGTTGGAAGAACAGCACGTGGTGAAGGTAGTAGTGGACACGCTTTATTAATTCTACGACCAGAAGAATTAGGCTTCCTTCGTTATCTCAAACAAGCCAAAGTCCCGGTCAATGAATTTGATTTTTCATGGAACAAAATAGCGGACATACAATTGCAGGTATTAATTAATTAATTTATTTATTTATTTATTTATTTATTTATTACAAAACATTTTTACAAAATTTAATTATCCATCTTTTCTTTTTTTCTTTTTCTTTTTTTTTAAGTATTCTAAATGTTAAATTAAATCCCGCGGAATAGTTCTTTGAATAAAAATAACATAACAGTGCGATTTGTATGTATCATCCGAAACACAAACGATAAGAATAATGAATATCTCGAAAGGAATAAATTATTATTCAAAAGCTAAAGTAGAAAAGATATCGCAGGAGACGCAATTATGGTAGTAGACGAGCTTACTTCGTGGCGTGAAAGTGCAAAAGACGAGGTACGGAAGTGCGTCGAATCGTTCGTGTTTACAAGGAATATACAAGTCGCAATAATGTTATTTCTTGTCTCATATTCCATCTCGTTTCATTCCATTGCATTTATTCTCTCTTTCCCCACTTCTCCCTCCTCCATCACCCTCCTCTCTCTCTCTCTCTCTTTCTGTCTCTCTCTAACAACTTTTCCAAGTTGTGTGGAGCACGACCTCCGCCTTATTTTTCATCTTTCTTGCACTCACTATCGTAACTGCATATAACTATTCGTCGTGACGAAGAGTGGGGTGGGGTGGGGTGGGGGGATGGTTCAAAGAGAGGAAAGAGGAGTTTCAATGGTGGAGGGGAAGAAGGACTACTGTGGTAGAAACGTGCGAAATGGCGCCCACACGCGTGATTCACGCACCACTCCCTTTTTGTTCCCCTTCCCCTTACCCCTCTTCCATCTATATATCTGATCGAAACCGATCCAGGAACCCCGCGATGCTTCGTTCGCATTTGGAAATTAACATTGAAAGACAACATATCGAAATTTGCCACGAGAAACTTCAAGAATCTGCAATATTTTTTGCATTTAAATACGTCGTCTTTTTCTTCTTTGCCTTCTTCTTTTTTTTTTTTTTCCTTTTATTATTATTATTATTATTATTATTATTATTATTATTATTATTATTATTATTATTATTATTATTATTATTATTATTATTATTATTATTATTTAATTCTACCCAAGTATCTTTGACAAAGAGACGTAAATTAAAATTTAGTCAATTAATATTTCACGACGCAATTTATATAAATCGACTAAATTACATATTTGATATTATTACGTTTATCGTTTATATTTGAGAAGAGAGAAGAGAAAAAAGGAATAAGAAAAAAAAAAAAATTCAAAAACTATTAAACATCCAATGACGATGAGTTCCTTTCGTACGAATTTGCTCTCGTAGTTTATTATATATATTCTTTTTTCAGCTCGAAAAATTGATCTCCAAGAACTATTTTTTAAATATATCGGCGAAGGAAGCGTTCAAGGCATATGTCAGAGCATACGACTCTCATCATCTTAAACAGATATTCGACGTTCAGACATTGGATTTGGCAAAGGTTGCCAAATCATTTGGATTTGTGGTTCCACCAGCAGTAGACCTGAGTATCCTTTTACAAAAATCAGAAAGTATATATCTATACAGAAAAAAAAAGAAATTAAGAACAAATATTTAATACAATTATTTGTTTCATATGAATTGTTACATTCAAGTTTTTAAATCTTTTAATTTTTATTTTTTAACAAACTACGTATATTGAAAAGCTTCTCGAAACGGTTACCTTATACACTATTAAAACATAGTTGGTGTTAAGAATTGACAATAGTTTCTTAGCTTTTCGTTATAAGTAGAATTTTTGAAAAGAAAAAAAAAAGGAGAGAGAGAGAGAGAGAGATTTTAAAACATATTACGTATATCAATTTGAAATCTTCAAACATAGATTATCACCTGTTTAAAAGTTTACTTTGACTGATATAGTTTAACAACTACTATTCACATACATACATATGTAATCTTGTTCCTTAACATGATAATAACTAACAGAAGTGGGAGCTAGCAAAGATTCGCGGCCACGGAAAAGGCTCGGCGGGGGCGGTTATGGTTTCTTCAAGAACATGAACAATCCAAATGCCTCGCGACAGTTGCAACGTACCAAGACCTTCCGCCAGGTGGGTAAACGTGGGAAGGACAACCGACAATTCACCAGATAACTTTTATATTATACTTTTTGCTTCGACGGTCATTTCTTTTTCTTTTTAATTCCATTTTTTTTTCTTTTTTTTTTTTTAAATTTTTTTTTTTTTTTTTTTTTTTTTTTTTTTGCTTTAACTCGACCATACGAAATTTCCTTTAGAAGAGTTAACTTGTACAGGCGTTTAGATACACCATAATTTTTCCGATTTATCTTTTATACGTGTATGTGTCACCGACTAGAGACACACTATAAAAGGTAATACGATCGAGCGCCCAAAAGAAGTTTATCTTTTCTTTCTCGTAAAATTCGCTTCTTTTTCTTCTTCTTCTTCTTCTTCTTCTTTTTCTTCTTTTTCTTCTTTTTCTTCTTTTTTGTTGTTGTTTTTTTTTTCCTTTCTTCCTTTTATCATCCAACACAAATTTTGTATAATTATGTTCATCGTAAAGTCAACTTTCCGTCGATTATTTTATTTATACCATTATACGAGGTGAATTTGAAAAATTCACGACTTTTTTCTTTTTCCAATGTATAAATTTATATTACATTCTCTTAAACGTAAGACAAAAGTCGCCAATTTTTCACATTGCCTTGATGATTATTACGAATATGATCAGGATCAGTTGTTTATTTAAATGACGTTGTAATCTATACGTAATATTTTTTTAATTAAAAGAAAAAAAAAAATATATATATATATAAATACATTTAGTCTTTGTTACGTGTTGCACGAACAAATAAATTGTAAGTTTTATTGTTCAATATTTTGATGAATCATATTGAAAATATTCGAATAATTAATTTAATAAAATATATCGCTCTTTGCCTTAATCGGTGAAAGTGAAGTTCTCTGATCTGTTAGAGTCGACGAGCACAAATGAAAACCCTTTCTTTAACCCTTAAAAAGGAAATGGTAGTTGTAGTTCTTATGTCCCGTGTAGGATAAATTAAGGATACTCTATTGGAGTGTTCATTATGCAGGATCGGAGGAGAACTAATGGTAAGAGACAAATTTATTTATTTAAAATTTATTAGCAAAGACAACGGTGATCTTTTAGCGTTTTGTTGTTTTCAAGTGTCCACGGATTTTGTCGAACAGCAAAGATATTTCTTATAGATAATAAAACAATATTTTTATCTTATTGCATTATGAGGTCTTATTGCGGTGATGTTAAAAAAAAAAAAAAAGAAAAAGAAAAAAAAGGAGAAAGAAATAATCAAACATATTAGAAATTGAATAAATTTTTTTTTTTTTTTTTTTTTTTAAATAATTCATTCTAAATTGAAGGTCAAAATATTTCTTTTCTCTTCGACGATCAACACGTCATCCCAATTAAGTTTAATCAAATAAATTAATCCCATCGATCGATAACGAAGAACAAAAATGGGAGATGGACGTTTATATATCTATTTTTTTTTTTTTTTTTGTTTGACTTTACAAATATATCATTGTATTACGGAGTTCCGATTGCTTAACAAAAAAGGAAATACATATTAGAACTGCGATAATTTTTTTCAATTAAAAAAGAAAAAAGAAGGTATCGTAATCGAAAAAAAATTCGTAAAATAATTCATTTAAAATTGAAGGTCAAAGTGTTTCTATACTACTCGAACGTTCAACTAATATCATCATTCTAATTAGTTTTAATTGAATTATTTACATCCGTCGTTCGATGACGAAGAACAGAAAAAAGATCGACATTTTTTGTCTTCCTTTTTTTCTTTCCTTTTCGTTTTCTTTCTTTGATTTCGCGAATAAATTTCTCAAATTTACGTGGGTCGATCGATAGAGGAAGATCGGTCGAAAGCAAAATTGGAAAGAGGGTCTATTCTTCGAAGTTATTATATAAAATAGAATGTGTCTTTCGATTTGAAAAGAAAACGCGTGAGAGAGAGAGAGAGAGAGAGAGAGAGAGAGAGAGAGAGAGAGAGAGAGAGTGAAGATACATTGAGAAGAAAGAGAAAAAAAAGAAGACAAATAATAAAGTAAAAAAGAAAAAAAGAAAACAGAAGGAGAAATAATTTATAACGCTGGACACCCACGTGATCCAGCGATGGGGCCATGTATGGATATGTGACGTCAACGTTACTTTACATTAACCAATATACTTGTGTAGGCGCTGGATACACGGGCATAGAAGGTAACGCCCGTGGGAGAATGGTAAGGCGACAGCGCAGCCTCCGGAATCGGTCCAGCATCGATTCTCGATCTTTTCAAATTAGATTCGTTTCATCGATCTTAAAAGAAAAAAAAAAAAAAAAAAAAAAAATATAAATGAACTAACAAAAAAAAAAAAACAAATTATCTATCAAGTGTCACGTCTGATTCTGATTTAATTCTCTATTGAAAATAATTAAATGATTTGATGTTAAACGACGGAAAACGAGCCAGCATCGATTCTCGATCTTTTTGGATCACATTCGTTTCGTCGATCTTTAAAAAAAAGAAAGAAAAAAAAAAAAGAAGAAATAAATAAACAAACTAACAAAGTAAAAGCAGCTAATAAATTATTTATTAAGTATCAAGTTTAATTAGGATATAATTATTTAATTGAAAATAATTAAATGATTTGATGTTGAACGATGAAAATCGATCCAGCATAATCATTCTCGATCTTTTCAAATCGATCTTAAAGAAGCAAAAGTAAAAGGAGTCAAATGTAAAAAAAAAGAAAAAAAAAGCTAATGGTCATTTCCAAATGTCACGTCTATCTAACTCGTACGTAAATCTCTATTGAAAATAATTAAATGATTTGAAGTTAAACGATGGGAATCGATTCAGCATCGATTATCAATCATCTCCAATTCGTATTCTTTTCGTCGATCTTAGAAAAGGAATTTAAATAAAAAAAAAAAAGGAAAAAGAAAGTAAAAATGAACTAACTCAAAAAAAAAAAAAAAAAAGAAAAAAGAAAAGAAAAGAAATGAAATCAACTGATTATTTTCGAACTCGTATATAATTCTTTATTGAGAATAATTAGATAATTAGAAGTTAAACGATCGGCTCAATTACTTCATGTTTTTGACTTAGAACATTTTCGAGTTGATTAGAGAAAAATAATCGAGTTGATTAGAAAAAAAGTAGAATAGAGAGATGGAAGAGAGAGAAAGAGAGAGAGAGAGAGAGAGAGAGAGAGAGAAAGAGAAAGTGTAGTAGAGATAGAGAAAGGGGAAGGCTAAAGAGAATAATTAGGAGGGGAAGAAGGTTTGAATGACATCGATAAGAGGGAACACATCTGTATGAATGCGAGAGAGAAAGAGAGCGAGAGAGGGAGAAAGAAAGATTGAGACAATGAATCGATATTAAGAAATCGATATAATAAAACAAAGTGTCCCAATGATTTATTCATAAAGTTACTTATATATATATATCTTATTATATGTAACGATAATTTACATTTATACTTTAACAACGATTAACTTAACTTAACTCGTGATTACATTAAAGACGAATTACAATTTACAAAGGATAAATTATTTATTTTATTTATATTAACGACGAATTACAATTTACAAAGGATAAATTATTTATTTTATTTATATTAACGACGAATTACAATTTACAACGAGTAACTTATTTACTCGATTTAAATTAACAACGAATTACAATTTATAACGAACAATTTATTTGCTCTATTTGGATTAATGATAAATTACAATTTACAACGAGTAACTTATTTATTCGATTTGGATTAACAATAGTATTTACAACGAGTAAATCGTATTAATTTCATTATATTTGGAATGTTCCGAAAAAAAAAAACAATTTCCTTTTTGTTTTAATTCTAAAAAAGAGAAATAGAAATGTATTTGTAATAATTTCGATCGATAAATTCGAGCAAAAGAAAAAATAAAGATTCGAACGAAAGATAATGTTACAACTAGTGGATACGAAATACATATCTCTCGACGAGAGAGAGAGAGAAAGGGAGAGAAAGAGAACGGTTTTCACTCGAAGAAAGTTTCAAGTGTCCTCGTGAAAGTCCTTCCCGATAATACCAACTCCGTTTGGTTATACACAGATATATAAATTTTTTTCTTTAAGATCAAGCCAAAGACCGACACCAAAATGCACCCACGCGTACTTTCGAAGATCAACGATCAGTAGGATTTCCATTCCTTTTAAAGATACAATCCAAGTACCCTGCGTCAATCCATCTAACAGTAAACTTTCCGATTATGGAATACTTTTTCCTGTCGTTCTCTCAACTCTCCTTTGCTTTAACTAGAATTGCGTTAAAAAAAAAAAAAAACTTTCGATGTCTTCTGATAAATTTTATTTAAAAAAAAGGAAAAGAAATAAAGAACATTGACGCAACGTTATTTCTCAGATTTTAAAAAAGTTTGTAGTATTAATTAAAAAAAGAATATTAAAAATTTTTAACCCATTATTTTACATTTTGAATGGAATGAGCGATTGATGGGTTTTTTTTTTCTTTCTTTTTTTCTTTCTTTCTTTCTTTAAATCATTTAGTTAGTTTTATAATCTGAAAGAGAAAAAAAAAGAACAAAGATTAATTCAAAAAGTCGCGAAAAAAAGAAGCAGTCAATTTTTAAAATCACTTGTAGAAATTTTCCTATACATATCGTAAAAAATTCCTATATATATCGTTAAAAGAAGATAAGAAAAAAAAACCTTAAATCCATTAATTAGAAATAATATACGTTAATGAATGAAAATTTATTAAAAGTCACGTACGTTATATTGATTAATATCGATAAGACTACTTCTACGTGATTATTGATAGCAATGAATATAACTAATTACTGTTCATTACAACGAGTGATACGAAGAATATATCAAGCATATATATATATATATATATATATATATATATATATATTTACATACTTATGCAAATACATATATACATGACGAAATAAAAAGAAGAAGTTGATATTCATCATATCGTTGTTATCCGTTTGCTCTCGAGAGATGCGGAGGTTCAATATTATCTGCTTTAGATGCGATACATGAAGGTAGATTGAAAGCAAGTAGGTAGAATTATTAATTATGCATTCCGAGCCATATATATATATGTATATGTATATATATATATATATATATATATATATATACACATATATATACTGTTCTGAGATTGTAACAACGTCGATGCGTTGATGTAATGTATCGTTTCGAGATAGGGAGGGGCCGTTGTTACGTTCTATGAGAAAATATTCAATATCTCAGTCTCTCTGTCTTCGTTCAATCCTTTTTTTCTTTCCGTCGCGTTTATAATTTTCCTTTTGTTTGTTTGCTTGTTTGTTTGTTTTTCTTCTTTTTTTATACAAAGAAATTAAAGATCATTAATCCATCTAACCAATGATGTAAATTAATCTAACAATGTCCTTTTCTTTTTCTTTTTTTTCTTCTTTTTTCTAAATAATAATAATTCGTAATTAATGTTACAATCATAACGATAAAAAGATTCCAATAGAAATTATCTTAGGAAAATGCTTCTGTACTTAATTCATGAGGATTCATAATTATGTTTTACGTTTCTTTGCATACCAAATGGTTTTATGGTCGTAAGAATACAAAAGACGTACGATAATTAAATGAGTGTTTTTTAAATGCTTCGGTAAATATCCACCTCATTTTGAACCGACGTGTCTTTGGTGCAACTCGATCTACGAATCGACTATTAACTAGTAATTGCTTTTGTAACATTATGTTACAATAGTACCTTTTGTATAACGAGTTTCTAAGTCGAGCCTTAAAGTCGTTAGACGAAAAATTATTTTCATTTTCTTTTTCTTCTTTTTCGTATTTCTTTATTTTTCGTTTTTCTTTTTTCTTTCTTTTTTTTTTTTTGTTTTTTTTTTTTTTGTTTTTTTTTTCAAGCGTCCGTGAATTTCGAAGATAAAGTTTTTAATGATGGAGATAACGAAAACGATCAAAATATTCGACAGTTACATACGAATACATACATTATTTCCCACGCTCGTTCTTAAGATTTACAGTCTGTATGTCTCTTCTCTCTCTCGAAGGAAGCAGACATGACCCACTTATCCTAGCTATGTTAAGTGTAACGATATGTTATGGATCGTAAAAC